GGTGGAGACCCGGTTGGCCAGCAGTAAGGCAAGACCTGGGGACTCATGGGCTCAGAGTCAGTGACACATCCACAGAGGACTAGAGTGGAGACAGAAGCGACCAACTGATAAGAAGAGGGCGGACAGATGCAGGAACACCCACACCTGCAGATGATACCCACTTGCCATGGCTCCAATAATGGGACGAACAGAGCTCAACCCGAAGAAGAAAGAAGAGGAAAAAATTTGATAAACTGGACATCCACCTATAAACGCAGTAGCTCAAAAGAGGAAACAAATCCCTGCTCCAAGAATTATTCCCACCCCCTTCACACAAAGAGTAGATAGGGATGGTAATCTTGAACATTGACTAACCAAAAATGGGAGAAGGGATACAAAGGCAAGAAGTGACTGGCTTATAAGCTTTCAAGAGGGAACCTAGATCCACAGGGTGGGGAGGATGGTAGAGTGTACAGCGAGTAGTATCCGACCTGTATAGGAAGGGCAGATGAAAAGAAATGCAGATGGGTCCCTTGGGAAGCAAGGGTGAATAATTGTTACCAGGACTGATTGTGAGGACTGGAAATGTAAAGGAGGACATTTTATAGCAAGGAGGGGAGTGATTAACCTTTCAGTCTAGAAGCCGAGGGCCCTGGGACCATAAATGGAGAAGAGCGGAGAGCGGGATCCCACCTAGAGGAGCAGTGAGGCCTGAGACTGAGACAGAGAGATGACGTGAAGAGAGGACGACGTGAAGAGATGGAGTGGCTGGGGACTAGAGATCCAGAGAGGGAGAGGGGGCTGTGTGCTGAGGACCATGAGGGGAGGGTGGGAGGGATTGCAGGGTATATCCTTTGGTTGGGTGATGATGCATGGACGGGATGATAACTATGGCAATGAGACGATGTATGATGGAATGAATGTAAAACTAATGTTTCCCCATGTAGACTATCACACAATACACAATAAAACATTAAAAAAAAAAAAACACAAGGAAGAAACAAAAGACCAAAATAGATGTCAGAAGAAACTCTGAAATTTGTTCTCCAGAATAGACATGCTAAAGCAAACGGGAAAAAATAAGGAAGTAAAAGAGTTGAACAAAAAATTTCAAAGGGCAGCTCTAGAAGATAAAATCAATTAGTATAATGAAATGTGCAAAGATGTGGATTTAGCAAATCAAAATGGAAGAACACATCCAGCACTTCTCAAAGTAAAAGAACTGAGGAAAAAATTCAAACCTCAACTTGAAATACTGAATGGCAAGGGTCATGATGGCTCTGATAACAAATACATTGCAACAAGGATTCTATGGACAAAATACTGAATGATGCAGAAAGCAGGCATTAAAAGAAGATGGAAGGAATACACAGAGTCACTGGACAAAAAGAAATAAATGGTTGATGTTCAACCATTTCAAGAGATAGCATATGATCAAGAGCCAATGATATTGAAGGAAGAAGTCCAAGGTGCAATGAAGGCATTGGCAAAGAACAAGGCTCCGAGAATTGATGGTATATAAATTGAAAATTTTCAACAAACTGATGAGACACTGGAGGCACTCATTTATCTATGCAAAGAAATTTGGATGACAGCTACTCAGCATACTGATAGAGATTCATATTTGTGCCGGTTCCAAAGAAAGGTGACCCAACAGAACACATAAATCATTAGATAATATCATTCATCTCACATGCAAGCAAATTTTTGCTAAAGATAATGAAAAATTACTGAAACAGCAAATTGATAGGGAACTGCCAGAGGTTTAAGATGAATTCAGATGAGGTTGTGGAACAAGAAGTATTATTGTTGACATCAGAAAGATCTTGATCAAAAGCAGACAATACTAGAAATATGTTTATCTGTGCTTTATTGAGTACACAAAGGGTTTTGACTTACAGATTATGACAAGCTATGTACAACATTGTGGAGAATGAGTATTCCGGAACACTTAATTGTGCTCCTGAGGAACCTATACAGAGACCAAGAGGCAGTTTTTCAAACAGAGCAAGGAGACACCGAATGGTTTAAAATCAGGAAAGGTGTGTATCAGGGTTGTATTCTTTCACCATAGTTACTCAATCTGTATGTTGTTGTTGTTAAGTGCTATTGAGTTGGTTCAAACTCATAGCAACTCTGTAGAGGGTTCTGAGAAGTGGCTCATGAGCTTGAACCACCGACCTTGCAGTTCAAAGTGACCTTGCAGTCCTGCGCATTAACCTGCAGTGCCACACCAGGACTCCTTTCAATTTGTATGTTGTTGTTGTTGTTAAGTGCCGTCGAGTTGGTTCTGACCCATAGTGACCCTGAACAGGGTTTCCAAGGCTGTAAATCTTTATGGGAGCAGAAAGCCTCGTCTTTCTCCCACGGAGCAGCTGGTAGTTTCGAACTGCTGACCTTGCGGTTTGTAGCCCGATTCGTAACCACTATGCTACTAGAGCTCCTTTTCAATTTGTATACTCAGCACATAATTCGAGGAGCTGGATTATGTGAAGACAAACACGGCATCAGGATTGGAGGGAGACTCATTTTCAAGCTGCAATATGCAGAGGATACAATCTTGCTTGCAGAAAGGGAAGAGGAGGATTTAAAATACTTACTGATGAAGATCAAAGACCAAAGCCTTCGGTATAGATTGTACCTCAATGCAAAAAAGCCAAAAATCCTCACCACTGGATCAATAAATAGCAGCATGAGAAATGAAGAAAAGACTGAAGTTGTCAAAGATTTCATTTTGCTTGGATCCACCAGCAACACTCATGGAAGCAGCAGTCAAGAAATCAAAGGACATTGCAATAGGCAAATCTGCTGCGCAAGACCTCTTTAAAGTGTTTAAGAGCAAAGATGTCAGCTTGAGGACTAAGGTGGGCCTGACCCAAACCATGGTATTTTCAATAGTCTCACGTGCATGTGAAAGTTGGACAGTGAATGAAGAAGACCATAGAATTGATGCATTTGAGTCATGGCAATGGAGAAGATTACTAGATGTACCACGGACTGTAAGAAAAAGAAACAAATCTGTGTTGGAGGAAATACAACCAAAGTGCACCTTAGAAGCCAAGATGGTCAAATTCATCTCTCATACTTAGGGGGTATTATCAGAAGGGACCAGCCTCTGGAGAAGGACACCATACTTGGTAAAGTGAAGGGTTAAAGAAAGAGAGGGAGACCTCCAACAAGATAGACTGGCACAGTGGCAGCAGTAATGGGCTCAAGTATAGCAGCAATTATGAGGATGGTGCATGACTGGGTGGTGTTTCATTATATTGTAGATAGGGTTGCTGTGGGTCAGAAATGACTCAAAGATACCTAACAATAATAATGTTTCAATATGCGTGGCAAAGTAGTGACTGTTTGTTATTATGAACCATATGTACCTCAAATGTTTAATACAATAGGTGTTACAGGGATTGGGTTGAAACTATGGGTTGTGGGTTAAACAAGGTTCATAACTTGGTAAACTACTTGTAGTCAAAATTCAAGTCCTTCCAAACTTAATGTATTCCTCACAGAATCAGTCTCAAAACCTCACCAGATGCTACCCCTATGAGGCAGATAGGTGTGGGATTCTGCAGATGGAGACCTCACTGATGAGTGGGGCCCAGGAGACCAACTGGTTTGCTAGTCTGAGAGAAAGTATGAACCACACTCCAAGGCCTTCTTACAGGCAGACACAGGACGCAGGTGAAAGGAGAAAGAAGTAGAAATGACAAAGGAAGATCTAAAGAGAGGTGAATGGCTGAAGGGGCCCGGAGAAGCAACAGGCAGAAAGGTCTGTGAAAAATGCCTAGCAGAAGAATAAGATTGCCCCGAAAGAGAAAGTTGAGCAGAACTGGAATACTACCAATGACAAACTGATTTGCCCACGGATGTTCAGCGCTTTCAGTGGCAGGGTGGGAACTAGAAACTGCTTAAGTCTCTGGATCCCATTCCAGGGATATTCTTCCTGTCACCAAAGGGCAGAGAGAAATAGGAAGGCCTAAAGCAGGCAACAAAAGAAGTTTAAGGCAAGTTCCAGGTATGACCATCACTGGGATAGATGGATAGCTCAGCTCAGGCTGGGGCCGCCATTAACAGCCAAGGGTCCAGTTGGTGCGGGTTGCTGTTGTTAAGTGCCATGGAGTGGTTCCAACTCAGCCACGGAGCGACTGTTAGATTTAAACCAAGGAGCTTGCAGTTAGCAGTTCAGTGCTTATCCTACAGTGCCACACCAGTACTCCAAGGCCCTAGGTAGTTGGGACCAAACACTCCTGGCAATGATATTTAAACGGAGGCCAAGCTTTTCAAAATTCCCTGTACGAGGCGGCGTCGGTAATGCCCCACCAGCGTTCAGGGATAAATCAGGAACTCCTTAATTGACGTGGGGCTTTTGGAAACGTCCAGAGCAAAGATCACACATCAAACGACCGGTATTTCTGAATTATCATATTGGAGATGTATCAGAGAACCGGCAGGGAGCAACCGAAATCAGCCGAGTGACGTTCGGGAATTTACAGAACCTCCTCGCAGGCACATTTGAGATGTTCTTTGCGGATCTATTCAAGAGCCTTAGGTTACTTTTCCATCCTTCCGACGCGCGTGTTGTAAGGTCGACTGATAACCGACAGTTTCTCGGCAATTTCCGGAAATGTTCGGAATCGACCACAGAGTGGAGCCCTCTAGCGGCGAGAACTGTCAGTCGCCTCGGACTGAGCTGCAGAGGGTGGGCGAACACGCGCAGACGCAGTTGCAATCCGGTGGCCGTTCAGACCGGATGTGGTTGCCACTGAGGTCAATTCCGGCGGGTGACGGTGCGGACGGGTCAGAAGCGTAGAGGCGGCGGCAAAATGGCGGCGCCTGAGGAGCGGGATCTAACCCAGGAGCAGACAGAGAAGCTGCTACAGTTTCAGGTAGCAGCCAGTACTCGGTGCGGCAAATGCCGCCTCGGGATGGGGATGGGCCCCTAGAAGAACCCGGAATCGTCTTCAGGTCGGGCCCGGGAGTCTTCTCAGCCTAGCCGGCGGCCTCCTCCCTCTAGCCACCAATTGCCCCGCTTCTCCGGGCCCCTGAGCCTCTGTCGGTCACCGGCCTTCCTGCGATTGCTGCGGCCAGACCAGACCCGCCTCCCCTCTGTCCCTTTACCCTCAGCGGATCAGCGTCCCTTGGTTTCCTTCAGCGGCATCCTTCCTAGCCCGCTTACAGGTCGGACCCTCTCCGCCCGGGAACCACCCTCTGTAGGTCCGCCTGAGACGCTTGATCCCCGCCGCGGAGTTGGCTTCGCTTCTGGTCTCTGGAAAGCGTTCTACTGGCGCCCCATGTCATTTCCACCAACATTTATTGTGGGTCTTTTGGCTTCCAGGTCCTGTCTTAGCGGTCTAGTTGTTGTTGTTGTTGTTATATGCTGTGGAGTCAGTTCTGACTCATAGAGACCCTGTACAGGGTTTCTGAACCTGTAAATCTTTACGGGAGCAGAAAGCCTCATTTTTCTCCCGTGGAACAGCTGGTAGTTTCGAACTGCTAACTGTGAGATTAGCAGCCCGATTCGTAACCACTACGCTACCAGAGCCCCTAAAGACAGGCCCAGCCCCCGCCCTAGAGGTGTGGGAGGACACAACCGAAGGAAAGAAAACATTGTTAAGTCTCCTCGGTGACTTCCCACTGAGTTCATTTTATTCCTGGATTCCTCAGCGTGGGAATCTGCCGTCTTCTAGTAGACGTTGTGATAAGAACATTTGAGATGAGGTCCATATTACACTCCAAGCTGGGCAGTTTGGTTGGAGGAGGCCACGAGGATGGGTAGGCTGCTGTTTGTTGTCCTGATGGGTCCGTTTCCTTAGCTCTTACTACGTTTGTCTTTAAAATGGCTAGCTTCTAAGCATGTTGCGGAGATCATGGGAGTTAATGAATACCATCAGGGCTTTGCAAACTGTAAACTGCTCTCAAATGTTACTGCTATTGTTAATCCTAGCATGTGTTGTTGTTAAGTGCTGTCGAGTTGGTTGAAACTCATAGCGACCCTGTCTATGGTTTCCAGGGAGTGGCTGGTGGGTTTGAACCGCTAGCCATGTGATTAACAGTTGTTGTTATGTTCCGTGGAGTCAGTTCCAACTCATAGCGACCCTGTACAGGGTTTCCGAAACTGTAAATCTTTATGGGAGCAGAAAGCCTCATCTTTCTCCCGTGGAACAGCTGGTAGTTTCTAACTGCTGACCTTGTGCTTCGCAGCCCAGTTCGTAACCATTACGCTACCAGGGCAGTGCCACACCAGGAGTCCAGTCCTAGTATGTTGTTATTAAGTGTTGTCAAGTGGGTTCTAATTAAAAATGGCTCTGTATAGGATTTACAGGAGCAGCTGGTGGGTTTGAACTGCTGGCCTTGTGATTTGCAGTCCAGTGCTGGTCTTTCAGCACCACACCAGGAGTCCAAATAGTATACTGGTACACTTATTTCCTAATATAAAATGTGCTGAATATTCATTTGTTCAGCAGTATTTCTCCAGAGTCTTAGTGCTTGGTCAGGCACCAAGACAGGTAGAATACCATCTATTATTTAAACTCTTGTTGAATGCTCTGCATGCCTTATCTCATGAAGTTGATGCTGTTATAGTCCCTGTTTTACAGAAATGGGATCCGACGCATAGGAGTAACATGCTTTGTTACATAGCAGATAAATGGTGGCATTAGGCCCACCTTTCAGAGTCTTTCCTGGGCTAGAGACCTTGAACTAGAAAACCTACATAAAGTATCAGTGTACATATGAGGGAGTAGAATGCTGTGATACGAAGTCTTTTTGTGTGTGTGAGTAGGTGTACAAGTTCTCCCTTTTCTCACATTTCCTTGAGTAGACTTTACTATCATTTTGAACTCCCCTCCCCCTTAAATCTGTCAATGGGTTGTAAGCATACAAAGGGAAAAATCCTATCATGGCAGTTGTTGTTCAGTGCCATCATATTGGTTCCTTTTCCTAGGCTGTAAAGTTTTGCAGAAGCAGCTCTGGTAGCGTGGTGGTTACAAGTTGGGCTGCTTATCTGAAAGTCAGCAGTTCGAAACTACCAGTGCTTCTGCGGGAGAAAGGTGAGGCTTTCTGCTTCTTTAAAGATTTGCAGCCTCAGAAACCCTATGCAGGGTGGCTGTGAGTCAGAAACCACTCTGCAGTACTTCACCACCACTACCACCAAAGTTTTGTGGAAGTAGAAAGCTTCGTCTTTGTCCCTTGGAGTGGCAGGTGGACTGAAACTGCCAGCATTGTGATATGCAGTCTGGTGCTTATCCTGCAGAGATGTTGTTAGCAACCTTCAGATCATGATGATCCCATGCACAACAGAACAAAGTGATACTTGGCCCTGCACCATCCTCATGATCAGTTGGGGATTGAACTGTTGTGAGATACGTAAGGTTTTCATTGGATAGTTTTCAGAAGTACGTCACCAGGCCTTTCTTCCTAGTCCACTTACATCTAGAAGCTCCACTAAACCCTACTTAGCATCATAGTAACGTGAACCTCCACTGACAGATGCGTGGTGGCAGTGCTTAAGATGAAGTGACAGAATTAATCCCAGGTCTCCCTCGTGGGAGGCAAGAATTCTCCTACTATCCCCACTATCGTAGAAGTAGTTAGCTTTCATTTGGATTTTAATTAAAGAGGAGCCCTGGTAGCACACTGGTTAAGCATTAGGCTGCTGACTGAAAGGTCAGTGGTGGGAACCCACCAACCACTCCATGGAAGAAAGATGTTGCTGCTTGCTTCTGAAACAGCCTTGGAATTGAAATGGGCATGTGTCTTCTGTCCCAAAGGGTCACTCTTGAGTAGAGAAATTGATGGCACCGCACATTAGAGTCAAGGAATGCATAAATATTGGAAAGTCAGCTTCCATTTCCTGGTAGATCACTCATTTCAGAGTTTTGTTTAGCTTTGGCAGACAGCGTTTCAGGTGTTTATGTGTAATGAGTTACAAATCATGATGTGCTCTAGAAGAACATGAGCATGTGGGATAGCATTTCTGAGCTGTAAAGTGCATAGGAACCTCTGTTCTGTCATCAGTGGACATGTAGATCAGTAAGAGGGAAGTGGGTAGCAGGTTAAAGTTGTGCTGAGATTACTTTATGATACTGGATTTAATGAGCCATGTTGTGGTTAACACATGTTATGTCCCGTGGAGTCGGTTTCAACTCACAGCGACCCTGTACAGGGTTTCCGAGGCTATGAATCTTTATGGGAGCAGAGAGCCTCATCTATCTCCTGTGGAACAGCTGGTAGTTTCGAACTGCTGATCCTGAGGTTAGCAGCCCGATTTGTAACCACTACACTACCAGAGCTCCTTGGTTCTTATTCATAGCAACTTTGTATATTGTTTCTGAGATTATAAATCTTTAAGGGAATAGAAGCCTTACCTTTATCCCAGGGTGTGGCTGGTGGGCTAAACTGCCAACCTTTTGGTTAGCAGGTTGGTGCTTATATTACAGAGCCACAGTGCTCCCTTGATAAGCCATATGTGTTTTATATTTGTGTATGAGGGGGCTTCAAAAAGTTCACAGAAAATAAAATTAAAAGATAATAGAATTTTTCCTTGTACTTTTTTTTTAATATTGTGAATTATGGGATAGTTTACATTAGCTTTACATTCATCCTATCGTATATTATTTCATTGCTATGGTTACAGTCCCCGCCATGCATCATCAAATAACCAAAGGGTATACCCCACAAGCCTACCCTTCAGTCGGCAGCAAACAGCCTCTCTCCAGAAGCTCTCTTGTACGTGTCCTCTCAGTCAAATTTATCATCCAGATTCTCATTAATCATACTTTGAACCTTACCAGGTATTTGATATATTTTGATTCTTTTAAATAGTTCTGGTAAGTATGAACTCCTGCTTGTTTTATTAATAGAAAAATAGAATTGTGATAGGTGGGAAAATGTGCACATTTTTGCAGAGATTTAGAAATCAGCATACGCAAATAACAAGTTTTTCTGCATGTAATATGATACAAGTTGTGGTGTAATGTGATATAAACAAAGTGCTTTGAAAGTAATTACTGGAGGAGAGAAGAAGGATGGCTTAGTAGTTAGATTTACCCTAGTGAGATGGATTGACACAGTGACAGCAACAATAACTCAAACATAGCAACAATTGTGAGGTTGGTGCAGGACCAGTAAGTGTTTGATGCTCTTGTACATAGGGTCACTATGAGTTTGAACTAATTCACTGGCACCTAGCAACAACAACATCCCCTAGGCATGGTACTAGATAATTTATAGCTATTATGTTTAATCCTCACAATAGTCTTGTAAAGTACATTAGATGATATGCTTGCTTGTAGGTGAGGAAACAGATCTATGGAAGTATTTGCTCACAGTCTTTAAGCTATTAAATAGTTGGGATGGAATTAGAATTCTATTAGGTATGGATCTGCACTTCATAGCCAGACTTGGTATTTTAAAGGATGAATAGAATTTCAACTATCAAACAGGAAAATGTCCAAAGATAGGAAAACACACAACGTATGGAGATGAAAAAATGTGGAAAGTATCTGTTGTGATAAATTTAGAGAGTTAGGTATAGAAAATAAAATTAGAAAGATAAATTGGAGCCAGATTTTGGAAACCTTTCAAAGCTGTGCACAGTGGTTTAAATGTTAATCAGGAGGCGAGGGGAGCCATGTATTTTCAACTAGCTTATGACATAACACTAGGTTTCAGATTTGCTTCATTAACTGTATGGTGTATGTGTTTGGAATCTCCACAGAGGTCAGAACAGAATAGGATGACACTTGTCTGAAATTTGTTCTCAATATGTTGCCTTGTTAGATATATTGAAATTACTGAAAGTTAATATTTTAGAAATCTCTGGTTTTCTGTTGCACCTTTTTGGTGACTTGTGAGTTAATTGGAACTCTCTGTGACATATTTAAGG